CTCTTTATGTGCCAGGCACTCCACTAGATGCTTTATTACTGCATTACTTTTCATCTTTATTTTTATTTTGTAGAAGCAGTAATTGAGGTATAGAATTTAAGAAATTTGTCTGAGGTCATATAGAAAGGATCAAGTTTGGGATTAAATCGTCTGCTCTTTTTTCTTGTTCCATAGAATGTACTTACACAAACCTAGATGGTATAGCCTAGTATAGCCTACCACACACCTAGGCTATAGGTATAGCCTATTGCTCCTAGGCTACAAACCTGTACTGTAGTTACTGTACTGAATACTGCAGGCAGTTGTAATGTAATGGTAAATATTTGTATATCTAAACATAGAAAAGAGAATGTCAAAATATGACATAAAAGATAAAAATGGTACACCTGCTGTACAGGGCACTTACCATGAATGGAGCTTGCAGGCCTGGAAGTTGCTCTGGGTGAGTCAGTGAGTGAGGGTGAGCGAATGTGCAGGCCTAGGGCATTCCTGTACACTGCTGTAGAATTTATAAACGCTGTACACTTAAGCTACACTAAATTTATTAAAACATTTTTCTTTCTTCAGTAATAAAGTAATTTTAGCTCACTATAACCTTTTTACTTTATAAACTTTTAAATTTTTTTAACTTCTTGACTCTTTGTAATAACCTAGCTTAAAACACACATTGTACAGCTATACAAAAATATTTTTTTCTTTATATCCTTAAGCTTTTCTCTGTTTTTAGAATTTTTTTTTTTTTTTAACATTTTAAACTTTTTTCTTGAAAACTAAGACACAAACACAAACATTAGCCTAGGCCTACACAGGGTCAGGATCATCCATATCATTGTCATCCGCCCCCACATCTTGTCCCACTGGAAGGTCTTCAAGGGCAGTGACACAAATGGAGCTGTCGTCTCCTATGGTAACAATGTCTTCTTCACTTGACTAGTCTTAAAAACAAAAAACAAAAAAACAATACCTTATCCTGGAATACCTCCTGAAGGACCTGCCTGAGGCTGTTTTATAATCAATTTTTTTTTTTACAAGTAGAAGTATACTCTAAAATTATGATAAAAAGTATAGTAAATACATAAACCAGTAACATAGTTGTTTATTATCATTATCAAGTATTATGTACTATACATAATCATATGTGCTATACTTCTATATGACTGGCAACACAGTAGGTTTGTTTACACCAGCATCACTATCATATATGCCACCCATTATTGACCAAAATGTCATTATGCAGCACATGTCTATACTTTCTCCATTGCCCTGCACATGAGAGGTAAGGTTTATTCAATATACTGTCATGGACTTCACCAGATTTTGATAAAACATTCTTAAATTTTCCAAGATGTGAAAGCACAATAATTTATTGCCACAGCTGTTAGTAAGTGGTAGAAGATTACAGGGGGCTCACTGCAGTGGTACAAATACATAAGCTGCTGTCAGTATGACCTTTCTTTCCCACTCAGGAAAGCATGTTGAGAGAGAACTGCATTCTGCACTATTTGTGTTTTAAAGCTTTCTTCATCAACAAATGGTGCTTGGATAACTGGATAGCCACATGCAGAAGAATGAAGTTGGACCCCTATCTCATATGATGTATAAAAGTTAAAATCAGATTAATAACCTAAATGTAAGAGCTGAAACTATAAAATTCTTAGAAGAAAATAATAGAGGTAAATCTTCATGGCTTTGGGTTTGGCAATGGATTCTTAGATATTACACCAAAAGCATGGGCGATAAAAGGAAAAATAGATAAAGTGGAATCCATCTAAACTAAAAACGTTTATGTATCTAAGGAGTTTATCAAGTAAGTGAAAAAACAGCCTATAGAATGGGCAAAAATATTTGCAAATCATATATCCGATAAGGGTCTAGTATCCAGAATATATAAAGAGCTTTTATAACTCAACAATAAAAAGATAAACCACCCCCTTAAAAAAATGGGCAAAGGATAGAATAGATATTTCTCCAGAGAAGATACATAAATGGTCAATAAGTACATGAGAAGATGTTCAACATCATTACTCATTGGGGAAATGCAAACCCAAACCACAGTGAGATACCACTTCACATGCATTAGGTTGGCACTAATAATACTATAAATAAAAAGGAAGATAAGTGTTAGCGAGTATGCAAGAAATTGGAACGTTCATCCTCTGCTGGTAGAAATGTAAAATGGTTCAGCTGCTGTAGAGAACAGTTTGGTGGTTCCTCAAAAAGATAAACATAGAATTACCATGTGACCCAGCAAATCCACTCCTAGGTATATACCCCCCAAACCGAAAACAGGTATACAAATATAAGTCTACACATGTTCATAGCAGCACTCTTCACAGTAGCCAAAAAGTAAAAACAACTGCAATGTCTATCAATATACAAATGGTAAACACCTTGTAGTGTGTCCATACAATGGGATATTATTCAGTCATAAAAAAGAATGAAGTGCTGATATAAGCTATAATGTGGATGAACCTTGAAAACATTATGTTAAGTGAAATAAGCCAGATGTGTCACATATTCCATTTATATGAAATAATCAGAATAGGTGAATCCATAAAGACAAAGCAGATTGGTGGTTGCTAGGGGTTGGGAGGAGGAAGAATGGGCAATAATTGCTTAATGGATACAAGATTTCCTTTTGGGATGCTGAAATATTTTGGAACTAGATAGTGGTGGTGGTTGTACAACATTGTGATGGTACTAAAGACGACTGAATTGTTCACTGTAAAATGGTTAATTTTAGATTATGTGGATTTCATCTTAATAAAAAAAAAAATCTACCAAAAAAAAAAAGAAAAAAGTGTGAAGTGCTGGGTGTGGCTCACACCTGTAATCCCAGCTACTTAGAGGGCTGAGGCAGGAAGATCGCTTGAGCCCAGGAGTTCTAGACCAGCCTGGGCAACATAGTAAGACCTTGTCTCTCTTAAAAAGAAAGAAAAAAGTAAAGCATTCACAAACTTTGGTGCTTTAATTATTAGTAGTAATAGATGCTTGGTAGATAGCAGGATTTCAGAACACTATTATTGCAGCTGGCTGGCTGGGACCGCCTGCCAGGATGACTAGGTGGTGTCTGATTACAGCCTCTCATCTTTGATGAGGGGGGACCCCTAGCCAGGCACTCTTCAGTCAGATGTCTTTGGGGCTGGTTTGGGTAAATGTTTGAGGCCAGCTGGGTGTTAGGCAGCAGGGAGTGGTGGGGATTCGGTGCAACTGGGCTGTACCCGTGGTCTAAAGGCATTCACATTCAGACAGACTGTCCCTGCACTGATTCTTACCCCATCCCCATCATTCTGCCATCCCTTTAAGCCATCTGACAGACTATTATTATGAAACTTTATCCTTCTCTCCATGGCACCCTATCGCAGCCACTTGGAGGTCTGGGGTAACAGGACTGAACCCTGCTGAATATGTAAGGGGAAAGACTCACTCTGAATCTTCTGTTTATGAGCCACTCAGAGAAATGGTCAGCAGATGGCGGCGGCCTCGATAGAGGGAATGGTGGGTTTCTTTAGTGTCACTTGCCCAGCAATTTGAATGCCTATTTGTCTGTTGTCTCTGCCAGAGGAGAGGGGCAGAGAGGCACAGAAGAGTCTAGAAAGCTTTCTGTTAATAAATGAGATGGAGAAGGTTTTTTTTTAATCTGCCCCAACATTCAGAGGCCTGTGCCTGCTCGGGAAGGAGGCGGGTTGGGAGAGGGTGTGGAGGAAGGAGGCCTGGTCCATTAGATATAGGAGTGGCTGGCGCTGGTTTCTTTTGTGCCTCCAGCCCTGTGCTGCTAATAATCCCTCTTTACTGCTGATGCTCTGAGAAGCACACGGGACATAGAGATCTTTGGCTCACGTCCTTTCATTACACAACAATTCAGTGGACATTTGTCGGGGACGGGGGCAGGCAAAAAACTATAGCTGTGTGAATTAAAAGACCTGCCTAAGGCCCCTGCCCTAAAACGTCCACCCCCCGAAAGTAAGACCCTCTCGGTACCCAAAGTACCACCATCATAGATTCCTTTCTTTAGATACTGGGAGAGTTTGAGCTCTCAGGAGAATCTTCTGGTGCTGTGGGGTACCCCAGCACACACTGGGCTGGGAACCAATCTGCACCTTTTCACTGTTCGCTGGAACTGAGTCAGCGTTTTTTCTAGTTGTCATTCTGACTTTAGTAGATTTCTTTGCCTACACTCCCCAGTCGGACTTGAATGGCAGGGATGAGGAAGGAATCTTTCTTCTCTGAAATCCTGCATTCAAAGCTCTGAATTGCAAGTGACTCAGTGTCTGGCCCACAAGAGGTTGTGCTTGCACAGGGCCTTTGGAACCAGCCCACCTGTGAAATGGCAGCGTGGCTTCCACATATCCAGGGAGCTCCCTAGCTGCCCGCTCAGGCAGAGTTCCTTGGCTTCGCTTACAGCACATTAGTTGGTTAGTGTTTTTGCTCTTCTTAGCAAGACTGTTCTCATAAGGGCACATTTATCTCTGAGACCGTCATGGAGGTGAGGCGGCTGTCTCAGCTGCTGCCCGAGAGGAGCCAGGGTGGCTCCCACACTGCAGTGCTTTTAGTTAGAACTTGGGAGACAGGGCCACAGTGTAACTACTTCAGTACACTAGTTTCTTCTTCCTGGGGCATGTTCAGAGAGAACATCATAGGTGTGAGCATGTGTGTGCCCTCTGACCTCCCCAACTTGTCTGCCAGTTCTCACAGGTGGGGTGAGTTCCTGGATTAAGTGGAAATCTCATTGCCCAAAAGACATGCTTCCGTAAGAGTTTAGATAAAGTAACCTGGACAGGTTCATGCCAACTGTTCACACACTGTCTATAAAGTATATGGTGCAAAAATGAATGCATTGTAGATATTTAAGAAATGATGGCTGCTACTGTCAATCCATGGCAGCTGAACACCGGAGCCTGCAGGAGAAGCCAGGAAGATGGCAGGAGGGTTCTGTATTCAGTGGTTTCCCCATGATTAATGCAGACTCTGGTTTCTTCTGTATTCCTTTCCTTGCCCAGTATTGATCCTCCAGAAGGTGGAGAATGGAGACCTGAGCAACAAGATTCTGAAGATCACTGATTTTGGCCTGGCTCGGGAATGGCACCGAACCACCAAGATGAGTGCCGCCGGGACGTATGCTTGGATGGCACCTGAGGTCATTCGTGCCTCCATGTTTTCCAAAGGCAGCGACGTGTGGAGGTAAGGTCCACAAGGGCAGGGACAAGTGTTTCCCAGATCTCTCTTGGCTGCACACATGCTTTGGGACTTGGAAAATTGAGATTCCCAGACACCCAAGTAGGTCTGAATGACCCCATCAGAGCAATCTATGCTAATTTCCACGTTACCAGGGGATAGTTTCATTTACCAAAAAAATCCCTGCATCGCTGTGGCAAGTACTACCTCTATGCAGGTCCCTTTGTGTCAGTGACTGCTCCCTAGGAAAGGCTGGCGGATTCCAGGGGCAACCTGTACTTCCATCTCTGACCTGTAGGGTGGTAAGGGCACCTTCCCCAGCATCAGCCTGGCTTGCTCAGCAACAGTGCTGGGCCCTAGTGGCTGTGACTGCTGGACTTGGGAAGGAGATTAACCCAATGTCCTCACTGTAAGCTCCTGAGCCAGTGAGTATTCTTTGTTGTCTCTTCTTTCTTCGTGGCCTAGAAATCCTTTCCAGTTATCTAGTTAATCTTTTAGTCAAGGCTCTGTTAGATGCTGATCTAGAAATGGGAAAAGATAGGTCCTAAGCATGCACCAACAACTGCAGAGCCACAAACTAGAAATGACCAACTATCTTCCTAGTAAGTGTCAGCCCAGGAGGTCACAAGGACATGGATCTAAAAAATCTTGTCTCCACGGAGGGAGGATGAGAGACTATAGAGTATGCATCCTCATGGCCGTGGGTCAGTAACATCACCTCGGTATGCAAAAGAAAGGGCTGTAAGTTATCACTGTGTGTCAGCCTATGAAGTTATTGCTTCCTGATGTGTTGTAAAGTGAGCTTCTGTGTGTATGTATGTGTGTGTATATATACATTTTTTAAAAAAAATAACTTTATTGAGTTATTATTCTCATACTATAAAGTTTACCCTTTATATACTTTAAAGTATATAAATCAATGGTTTTAGTATATTTACAAAGTTGTTCATTGATCACCATTGTTATTATTAATAGTTTTCTAGGGCTGTTATAACAAATTACAACAGAAATGTATTCTTTCATAGTTCTGGAGGCCAGAAGTCTGAAATTAGTGTCAACAAGGCCACACCCTCCGGAAACCCTAGGGGAAATTCTATTCCCAATAAAGATTCTGGGAATTAGGGCATGGACATATATATTTAGGGCCACCATTCAACCTACTACAGTCACTATCTACTTCCAGAACAGTTTTATCACCCAAAAAGGAAACCCCATACCTACTGGCAGTCATTCCCCAACCCCTCCTCCCCATATTGCCTCACAACCAATAACTTATTTTCTGTCTCTATGGGATCTGCCTATTCTGGACATTTTACATAAATGGAATTGTATAATATGCAGTCTTTTGTGAGTGGCTTCTTTCATTTAGCATAATGTTTTCAAGGTTCATTCATGTTGTAGCTTATTGTTCCTTTTTATGGCTTAATATTCCATTGTATGGATAGATCACATTTGTTTATCCATTCATCCATTAATGAACATTTGGATTGTTTTCACTTTTTGACTGTTATGAATAATGCTGCTGTGGACATTTGTATACAAACATTCGTGTAAAGAGGTGTTTTCAGCTCTCTTGGGTCCATACCTGGGAGTGGAATTGCTGAGTCACATGGTAATTCTATGTTGAACTTTTTGAGGAACCACCAAACTTTCTCATTCTGGTTACACCATTTTACATTCCCATTAGCAATGTATGAGGGTTTCAATTTCTTCACATCCTTTCAACACTTGTTATTGTCTGTTTTGTCTTTTTTTTTTTTTTTTAATTATAGCCATCCCAGCAGGTGTGAAGTGGTATCTCATTGTGGTTTTCATTTGCACTTTCCTAAATGACTAATGATGCTGAGTGTCTTTTCATGTGCTTATTGGCCATTTGTATATCTTCTCTAGAGAAATGTCTACTTAGATTCTTTGCCAATTTAATAATGGGGTAAAAACTTTTTATTGTTGAGTTGAAAGAGTCCTTTATATGTTTTGGATACAAGTCTCTTATCGGATATATGATTTGAAAATATTTTTTCCATTCCGTAGATTGTTTTTTCACATTCTTGTTGGTGTTCTTTGAAACACAAATGATTTTAATTTTGATGAAGTTCAGTTTATCTATTTTTTTCTTTTGTGGATTGTGCTTTTTTGGTCATATCTAAAAAACTGTTGCCTAATCCAAGGTCATGAAGATTTACACCTATGTTTTCTTAAAGAGTTTTATAATCTTAGCTATTACATTTAGGTCTCTGATCCATTTTAGCTTAATTTTTGCATGTGGTGTGAGGTAGGGGTCCAACTTTATTATTTTTCATGTGGCCATCAGTTATCTCAGAACCATTTATTGAAAAGACTAATTTTTCCCATTGCATTTGTCTTGTCACCATTGTCAAAAGCGAATTTACCAGAAATGTAAAGGTTTATTTCTGGATTCTCAGTTTTGCTCCATTAATCTATATGTCTGTCCACAGTACCACCCTCTCTTGATTAGTGTAGCTTTGTTGTGAGTTTTGACATTAGGAAGTATGAGTTCCCCAATTTTGTTCTTCTTTTTGAAGATTATTTTGGCTGTTGTGGGTCCCTTGTATTTCCTTAAGAATCTTAGGGTGATTTTGTTAATTTCTGCAAAATAGACAGCTGGGATTTTGATAGGAATTACATATACTTTGGAGTTACTTTCCAGGCTATTGACATCTTAATAATAATAAATTTTCCAATCCATGAATATGGGACATCTTCCCATATATTTCGACCTCCTTCAATTTATTTCAGTGATGGTTTGTAGCTTCAATGTATTGAATCTTATTTTACCACACATTAATTACAAGGTAAATTAGCTAATGAGAAGAAATGAGTTTTGCTTTCCTTAGTATATATGACCTGATCCCATTAGGTTGAGCTATACTCATATACTGATATTCAACTGTTTTTGATCTATAAAAACAGCAGTTTTGTGTTTCAATTGAACACTTTCATTACTTAACCATTACTTAACTAATGGGATTAGTCAATGTATTAATTAAGGTAAACTGCTATTACAAAGAGACCTACAGATATGAGGGCTTAAATGAGATAGAAGTGTATGTTTCTTTCAAAGAGTAGTCCTGACAGTCCGGGCTGGCAGGGCAGCTGTGCCCCATGAGATCATTCAGGAACCCAGGTGCTTTCAGGCTCCCTCAGCGCACTGTCCTTGTCTGAACGGTTACATTTGAGTGACCGTTACTTCGGTATTACAGTCTTCAAAAATGGAAAAGAGAGCTTATCCATGCAAGCAGTTTATCTTTAATTTGGAGACAAACCTGAAGTTGTGCACATCTCCATCTGCACAAACCCCATTGCCTGCGCTTGGTTATGTGAGCGCATCTGGCTCCGAGGGAGGTAGAAAAAGTAGGCTCTGGCTAGACAACCGTGTGCCCAGCTAGAACTCTTACCGTGGAAGAAGGGGAGAGTGGATTTAGGGGACAGTCAGCCACTTGTCACACTCAACTTTCTCTTATCTTTCTTCATGGGACACTGTGACTTCTCGGTAAGGTGATTGTTTCCTAGTTCCAGTATTCCTGCTAGGTTTCTTCTCCCAGTCAGACCCTGAAATTACTCAGGTTTTGTTATGATGTACTCTAAGCGTTTCTGCTGGTGATGATTTAGACAGAGTTGCGTCAAGTATCCAGGCGCATTGTTCATGGGAAGGGAAAGCACAGCTGCTTGATGTAGGGTCTTCTCATGGTGATAGAAATGGTACGTAGGGAAGTACAAGGCCCTTGCAGGGTTTTGTGCTCCATGGAAGGAACAAGGGCAGGACCTTTCCACTTTTGCCCAAAGTATCTACCCTTGTTTCAAGACTAAGCTCCAGATCTTGCCCTTCACCCACAGATCCTGAAAGCAGCTGTGAAGAGCCTCTGGTGAGAGGAATCTAGTGAAATTGTTCTACTCTCTGAAGAGAGTAGCTTGGAGATAAACCTCTAATCAACAGCACGTTCAGTGAAGTGTCTTGGATGTTGTCATATGATCTGCCAGTGAGTCCCTAGTGTAGAATTGTTCCCAGGACTTAAGCTGCCTGACAGAGTTTGGTTGATGAATGTGGTTTGAAAACATAATTTACCCTGCTTCCTTCCAGCTTTCTTAGCTTCCATGCTGCATGATTTCCTTCAAGACATAATTTATAGCCCCTTAAGTAGATCTTTAATCCCAGACTTCTCAAGCCCCTAAGTGGCCCCAAATGATCTCTCATCTTTACCACAGGAAAACGGGTACCCATTGCTATACATATAGCAGTACTTGTACACACTGGTAGCAATAATGCTACAAATGCTAATGGGCTAGGCTCTATGCTAAATGCTGTGTATCTTTTATCTCATTTATAATCCCCAAAGTAGGTATTGTTATTTCCATTTTATGGGTGCAGCTCAGACAGTTTAAGTCAAGTCATGCGCCTAGGTTCACCTAGGTGGTAGGTGGGAAGCGGTGATTAGAACTGGGTATGTGTCTCAAGTGTTAAAAGTCAGGGCTTGTAGCCATGTTACCATCTATATGTTCTTGTTCTTCTTCAAGGTGACTGACCCACCATGCCTAGGGCCTAGCAGGATGTCCCAGAGAGGGCCAGAACATGCCTAGGAACTTGGTACAAAGCTGGTTCCCAAATGGATTTGTAATTCATTTACTCATTTCAAGACGTATTTGTTCAATACTTACTCTGTGCTAGGTACTGGCTGAGTCTGAGGCCCCCTCCTCCCCTCCCCTCCTGGAACTCATCCAGCGCCCAGCCCTTTGCGCCTCTGCTACTGCCAGGTGCCCAGGGCCAGCTGAATTTGTCTTTCATCCTGCCCTTCAAGTGTGCTTACGAGAGTCTCCTCCACATGCTGTGGTGCAGGGTGAGATGATAATGGTCCGGATCCTCAACTGTGTAAGTTTTCCAGTCTGCTTGGATGGGGAACTGCCTCTCCAAGAGTAAGGGCTGAAATCTTCCCCTGGGTTGTGCTGTGCGGGGAGGGCAGGGGTTATGGTCAGAGGGCATCGTCCCACAAGGACCTCTTGCCTCTTGTATGTGGGATGAGGAGGAGGCATTTTCTTAATCATTTTAAGTTTTTAAAATTACAATAGTAAAACACGTTCCCTATAGAAAAAAATTAGAAAATAGAGATAAACAAAAAAAGAAAGAGAAGAAAAGAAAATCACCCTAAACCCATCTATATTAATAGAGATAATCTACTTAATATATTGAGTTTTTTGTGTGTTTACTCCTATTCGTGGGCTCATCTACCTATCCCTTAAAATGGGATCATTCTTCTGGTTTATAAGCTGCTTTTTGAATGTAATATAGTATGAACATATTACTACATTAATGAATATGTTGTTCTGGTTATGTCAAGGGTTATATTAATGTATATATTACATATATGTTAATAAATATATCCTCATTTGAATCGGGACCAGTTAGCAACAACCGGAAAAATAATTGTATGTTATTTTACAATTTACAAAGCGTTTTCACATATATTAGCTCAATTATCTTTGCCAAAGGTTATTAAGCAGTCTGTGGGGTTCCTGGAATGTGGGGTCACAGATAATTTACCAAGTGCAAGAGATTCCCCAGCCCAGCCCAGCCCAGTCAAGGGAGACCGAGCCTCTCCTTTCAGAGCATGGATCCTCAGCTCTACAGCCTGAGGGCTGATGCAGGTTAATAAGAAAAAGAGCTATGAGTGACTTCTCTGAGGGTTGGGTGAGGCAGCTCTGTGGGAGCTGGTGGTTCTGTGTTGGGGGGAGGACTTGGAGGCTGTGGTTTCACTGAGCTGGCCCTTCCAGGCTGCTTGTAAATGGTCTTAAAGGGACCTCTCGACCTTTTCATCCCGGGCGGGTGACAAAGTAGACTAAACCTGATATTAAGTCACTTTGCCTTCTACTGCCCACCTATCCCTGGGGCTCAGATCTGTGTAACTTACATTTCTCCAGTTTCTTTCTTGGACTCTATTCCTGCCAAAGGAATACCAAGTCTTCATTTGCGTCACCCACCTTCCATTGTAAAAAATGAAGGTGGGACATTGGCAGAGGAAAACTGACTGGTTTAGTCAGCCCCAGAAAGGCTGCTGCTTTGAATGCTGGTGTCCCTCAGCAAGGCTCTCACCAGACGTTGCAGGCTCTGCGGAACCCTCTTCAGACATGTTCTCATTTCAGGCCCTTTCTGAGGAGAAAGCACATATGTTTACTACCCATAGATGGTAATTTCTGGGTGGGTAGTAGCTGTTGGTGTTATTGATTCCTTGTAGCTATTCCGTGAGGTGTAGGTATCGCTGTCTTTGTTGTGTGGATGAGGAAACCGAGGTTTGGAGAGATGAACTAGCTTCCCCAAGGGCACATAGCTGGTAAGTGATAAAGTAGGCATTTGACTGAAGTCGGTCTAAATCTTTCTTAGGTAGCATTCTTCCTACTTGATCAGTACTCAATTCCTCTTAGCTGTAGAAGCCTTGAAACTGGATAGAATTTAGACGAACAAAGAAACAAGCCTGGTAAGAGCAGAGGTGCCCTCACCGAAGCTAAGAAGGGTAGGTCCCAGGCTCCTCCCGTTTCCAGGTGGCCTGAGGCATCTCCGCAGGACACAGAGCGCACAGAAGGGATGCAAGGACACAAGCAGGACACGCGGGGATCCTTGAAACACTCTACTGTCTTTCCGGGTAGTTAGGACTCAGACACCAATTGTCTTTGCCTGAGTGAAAGAAAGGGTTCTGTGGGACCTTTGGTTTTTGTTTTCCAGGGTGAAGGTGGCATTAATGCCAAGAGCAGAAGATGGCTTTAACCCAGGAATCTGGTCAGCAGTGCTTAGGGTTCTTAGAGGTCACTTGGTAGCAGCTGCCCAGCATGACCGATGTCTAGATGAGTCACATTAAAGGTTTGTCAGAAAGTGCAATAGTGCAATTCTGGATGGTGTTCCAGGTTTACTTGGACAGCTTGCAGGACCATCTGACTGTGCCCTCCCCCCACTCACTCATGTATCTATGAGTGCCTACTGTGTACCAGACCCTGGGCTCGCCCTGACGATGCAAACATTAAAAACTTCTGTCTCTGCTTTTTAGGAGCCCGTAGGCTGGTCAACAAATAACTGTGATACATGGCAGCCCAGACAAGGGCCAAGGACCATCTGGGGATGTCAGGGAAGGCTTCCTACAGTGTCCAACATTGTTCCCTTCAGCCTCTGACTAAAATCCAACTCCTTGGTCTAGACAAGTCAAGACCTGCAGTTGTCTACTAGGCTTTTTTCCCTGTCAAGACACATAAAGAAAATGACAGTATTTGGAGGCCTTGCTAGGGTAAAGCCATCATCCAGGGAGACTGGCCAGGCTGCGCTGAGGGTCCCTCCGTAGCCTCCGATGCACTGACACGTTGGTTAGCACGTTGCTCTTCTTTCGAGCCGTGCCAGACCACTGGGATTCTCTGCGGGCAGCGCACGCTCTTGATCGCCTCTCTGCACACGCTGGTCCCTGCCTTTGGAGCACTGACCCTCTCCTTCACTTGGCAGTCACGGTTTGGCTCAGGGGCTGTCTCCTGCTCCCTTCCTGGTCTGGCTCAGGTGGCCTTCCTTTGTGCCCTTGTGGTATTCTAGTCGTCCTCTTTTCTCTCCCACTCGCTCATCGCTTTGTGGATAAGATCTGCGTCTTTTATCCTGGATCCCAGGGCCTGGTATTGAGCTTGCTGCAGAGTAAATATTTAGTCAATGTTTAAAATGAATGAATAAATGATGGGACGTTTGAGTTGGATCTTGAAAGGTGATTAGAGTTTATCAAGCAGAGAAATGGTAGAAAGACTTGAGAGTTGGTCTGAGATCCACCAGGATATGCTCCGTGTACGCCCTTAACCTATGCTACTAAACCTGTCTAAATGTTACTTTCCTCATCTGCGAAATGGTGATAATACTTGTCACTCAGGCCTGTTATAGGGATTCGAGGTGATGTTTGGAAAGTACCTGAGCATTCTACATGTACGAGGTATCATGATAAATAGGTACTGGGTTTATTATTACTTTTAAAATTAATATGACCTTTATTGCTGGTTGCAGACTACTGATGAATATTATAAGAAATTCGAGGTTGATGTTGAAAACCTCAGGAGAACCATTCTTCTGATTGTTCATAGCCTTATATTTTCTTGTCCTGACTTATTCTTGGAAGGATTGAATGCTATGTGATTTTGCCTGGTTCTAATTGTGAATTTGTAGAATAATTCTTCCACTAAGCTTTGTACTCTGCATTGTCTGACTCACAGGATGTGAGAAAGGAACTTCTTCATGTGCACTTGAAAGGTAGGGAGGGCAGGCTGAAGCTCTCCCAGCTGACACGCTGCTCTGCCCCGCCAAGGTGGGGTACCCGTATGAAAGTCTTCCCTTTGAATTAGACAAAGTCTCTGTTAAGGACCCACTCACACTGATCCAGGGGCAGGAATCTATTCAACCTAGTGGACATTTAAAGAAATCTTTTACAGAAGAAAAATCTGTTTTGAGTGGTTGGCTCTCTGCTTTTTAAAGCTAAAAAAAGTATCTGTGACAAAAGGTGAAGTTTTCTTAAAATGGAAAAGAAGTTATACTTGGGAACCTGCCTCTTCCTGCAGTTTATTTGATTAACAGTAACAAAATAGCTGTGGCCATTGAGCACTTATTTAAACGCTGTAGTAACTCCTTTAATTTCACGACAGCCTCATCAGACTGGTAATGTTATTTGTACTTTACAGACGAGGAATTAGAGGCTTAGAGAGATGTAGGAACTTGCACAAGGTCACATAGCTGGGGAATTATGGAACAAGACTTTGAAACCAAGTGTGCTTGGTTTTCTTTGCTTTTAGCAAGTAGGCTTTATGGCTTCCCCTTTGTATTGCATTAGTATTTCTATTTTTTTAGTTTCTCTGTGTGTTGGGGAGAATGTGGGATGCTCAGAAAAGCCTCATGAGCTATTTCAGTTATACCTGTGGTTTATTATATGGCTTCTGTCTCGTTCCTCTCCCTAGCTATGGGGTGCTGCTTTGGGAGCTGCTGACTGGCGAGGTGCCCTTCCGCGGCATCGATGGCTTAGCAGTGGCTTATGGAGTGGCCATGAACAAACTCGCCCTTCCTATTCCTTCTACATGCCCAGAACCTTTTGCCAAACTCATGGAAGGTAAGTCACCCCTGGCCTGAACGAAACTGGAGACAATTTACCTTCTTATAAGCACTTGGTAGATTTTGGCCAACTCTGTAAGATTAGTTACTAAAAGAGGAGATAAAGTATTAGTCACCCAAGGAGGTATCTCATGGGCAGTTGGAAGAGCTACTTCAAGATGATGTCAGCATCCTGCTGTCGCAGGTCCCTGCCCTCCATCTCCAGGGACTGTAGAATTAACTTAGTAACTAAAGCCTGTTATCCAGTGCTTCAGCACGTTGTCACTTAACACAAAATGAGAAGATATAGCAGCTTTTATTTCAGGACCTCTGAGTGTCTTACATACAGAAATGAAGAACATCTAAGAAGAAAGGGACTCTAAGTCATCTAGTCCAGCCCCATAATTTTATAAGTGAGAAATCCAGAGCTGAGGGAGGTCGAGTGGCCAGGTAGCTGTGGTCCTCTGGGTAGCGGCTGGTCTGGGATTAGGCAGAATTCACTTTGCCTGACTCCCGCCCTGATGCTTTTTATCCTTGCTGCCGCCTCATTCCATTGGGGTGGGGGAAGAGTAGCTTATTTATTTATGGGAAATTGAGGCCCAGAGTGTAGTGAACCATTGTCAGGACTTGAATCATATAGTAACATGGTAAATTGTGGTAGTAGTATTTTATTCGAGCAAATTCTTTGGGCTCACTTTTTAAAAAATACTTATTTAACAGAATGGGACAAGTGCAGAACGGCTGCACTTTATTTCCAGTTTCATTCTCTGTGGTTGTTATGGTGGGCAGCTTGTTTAACTTCCTGGGCCCCATTTGGGGTTACGTAAATTCCAACCTCTGTTTCTGGAAGGAGAAACAAGAGGTAGTTTTCTGGTAAATGAGGTCACGCCACATCCTCAGTCTTGCGTTGGCCTCTGTCTGTTCATGGTTTCTGTTTCCTCACGCGCCCCCGCAGACTGCTGGAATCCCGACCCCCACTCACGACCGTCTTTCACCAATATCCTGGACCAGCTCACTACCATAGAGGAGTCTGGTTTCTTTGAAATGCCCAAGGACTCCTTCCACTGCCTGCAGGATGACTGGAAACATGAGATTCAGGAGATGTTTGACCAACTCAGGGCCAAAGAAAAGGTAAAATTAAAAAAATTTAAAAAATAAAAAGAAAGAAAAATGTCATGCATTGAATTAATGGACCTTCTCCACTGGGGCCTCTGGACTGAGTCTGACTGCCCACCCTGATTCTGACACGACACCTTCCTGCTTGGTATCTGCTTAGTTGTCCAAACCAGAAAAGTGCACAATTGGGCAGTTTCCCGCAGGGTGTCTCACCCTGCCAGCTAAAAATGTGAGAGGTTCTGGAAAGGTTTCTTGACTCCACAGTGGACTTATAGAGGAAGGTTAACTTGATATAGGATATTTCAACATTGAGAATAGTCATCAGAACATCCTGCCAGTGTCTTTTGACATCAGAATCGGAAACAGAATATGGGCTAGGGATAGAGTCTAAAAGTGTGTGGCATTTTTTGTGTTCTCATGAAAAGTATTCCAAGCCCCAACCAACCAGGGAGTTCAGACCTCTAGCCTACTAGAGGTCTGCCCTTTTGTTTCTGTGGCCATTCCCTAGATGGCCCTTTTCTGCTCCCTTGGTGTGTCACCAGCAGTCAGTGTGCACACAGGTGAAGCCAGTTACAAGCAGTTATGTTGCTTATACTGTCACGGCAGGACTGAATCTAAGGGGTATAGTTCAGGCAAAAGGGGTGTTAATATAGACTTTGTTCATTTCTTTTTTCTTTTCTCATTTTGCACTATGGGAATTTAGGAAGATAATAGCGATAGGATAATAACAGTAGCCAAAATTGTGTATGGCTTTAGGTTTCCCAGTTTTTTTCCTTGAAAGGTTTGATGAGACCTTTTTATCTGTTTTTTCCAGAGGTCCTAGGGCCCCTGCCACCAGTGTGTAGGGCAGGTGTTATCATTTCCATCTCAGAGCTGAGGGTCAGTGATTTGCCTGAAGTCATAGAGCTAGTAAGTGGGGAAGCAGAACCCTGAACCTGGACCTTCTGATTCTCAAACCGATAATCTTCGTAATATCATCATTGTTCTTCTATACAAATTACTTAAAAATAATTTCTGGAGCTGATTCGAAGAAATTAAACTCTTTTTATGAACACAGCATCCCTAAACACAGTGCTGCTGTCAGGTCCGTGAGCATTCTGTGGAAGAATGGAGTGAGCTTCTGATGAATCTTTAGGGACCCTGGTGGGTGGACCTGCGCTGACTGTTGAACAGTGATTATAAGAGCCTGTTCCTATTCCGGTTAGAAGAACCTCCAGAGTTGCTGGCTTTGGGGTTTTTTTTTTTTTTATTTTTTTTTTTTTGTTCTTTTTTTTTTTTTGATTGCTGAATCACTGACTCTTTGTTACCTTTCTTTGGATTGATGGAATTATAAGGGTACTAGCCAGTATGAAAAATGAAAGTGGGATTTTGTCAGTAAGCAGTTACTAGGAAACATCAAATCCATTCTCATAATAGCTAACATTTGTAGAGCATGCACTATGTGCCATGCTTTCTTGTAATTTATATGAATTGTTTTATGTAATAAGATAATCGTTGTCTTATGTCTGTGGTGTCAGTGCTGTTAATCCCCTATTACATGTGGCGCCGATATTAACTTGCCTAAGGCCACACCGTTAATGACAGTGAAGCTGGAACCTGAATTTCAGACTCCTTGTTCCAGAGTCCTTGCCACCAATGCCATGAAGCCTCTCTGTTGTAAGGCTTATCATTTGGGAAAAGAAAGTAAGATGTATAAGGAGTTTTCTTTCTGGAGTGACTCTTTTTGTGTGGAAGATGTGATTTGCCATACTGTGCAACACAAGTAGGTGTTTCACAAATAGGGGATTTGCCATGTTTGAGGGTCTTTCAGGTGTGTGGTGGTGTAGGCATATACTCCACAAATACCCTGATTTACCATACGATTCAGCTTATTCTTCAGATTGATTCAACCTACTGCTTCTAGGTATTATGAAGATGGATTGGTCTCTAGTTTGGGATTTGAGTTTTTTTAAAGGAAGGGGCTAAGACCCAAACCATCCCTTAGACAAGAGCATGCAGGAGATGAGCACTTAAAAGATTGAAATTAGCTTGAACTTTTAAACTTTTCCATTTAACAGCAAAATCATCCCAGCAGGAATAATTTTCTTGCATCTCTCATGTTATTTTGTTCTCCTGGTAATGGAGCAGGGGAAACAAAGATTGGAGGGCGCACAACAGTCAGTTCGAGGCTGATTTCATCAGAGAAGAAGAAGTTCAAAAGTTCAAGTTCAGCTCTCAGGAACTTATGGTGAATCTAGGTTCCCGTAAAGAAGGACGTGTTTATGAAATTGTCCTTTATTTCCTTATTATTTCTCATTCATTTGTTTATTGACTCCATAGTTACTTGACCACTGAACACCTACCCTGCACCAGACACTTTTCAATGTTCTAATTCTCTTGTGTTTTCTCTCCTGTCATTTTGTTTTCTTTTTTTTTTTTTCTTTTGATCCCTGATATTCTGATCCTTTCTATCATTTTTATGGCTACTTTGATATATCTTGGGAGATGGAACACAAGTTGAACGACAAGTTTATGATGTCAGAATATTTTATTTGTATCTTGTCTCTGTCTTCTTTTCTGCTCTCTACCTGCTGCTCACTTCCCCATTATGTGTTCACGTACTTTTTTTTCTAGCTCTAGCTTCCCCAAATAGGTTTGCCTATTTTTTTTTTTAGTTCAGAATGGCTTCTTATAGTGGTGTATTTCATTGAGAAATTAAGTTTTGACCATGAAAGTGTTGCTATGGCTGCTGTATTGAAGAAATGGCATGCTTTTTGGATGTGGTTCTCTCAGATTATTGACATTAAGACTTGTTAAATTTTAGTCTTTCCACTTCCAACCACCCCACTTTAATCCCCGGCCCAGGATAACCAGTGTTAACACTATAGATTCTAGATTTTAAAATTGTATACACATGCTCTGTTTTCATTCCTGTTTTCTCTCCGATTTCCTGATTCTATGTTCCTCACCCTCTTCCTTAATGCTGGGCTCACTTATAAACTCAGGCAGAACAAAAAGGGGAGGCAAGGAAGAGGTTTTGCCTACCTGATGTGGCTCCTACCTCTGTTCTCAGAGGAGGACAAAAGGGATTGTTTTTGGGTCCCAAGATAGGATTCCAGATGGAACTTTGTCCCAGTTCTGCCCTCCAGCTTTCTGGCTCCAACTCTCCCTTTAGCAGTGAGACTGGCTGTCCTTGTTCTTGAGGTGCTGCAGAGGCACAGCCTGCGCTGAGGTGACATCTTCTGTGCCCATTGAACAGTTAGTTTCAGGGGTGTGTGATAGAACAGCGGGCGAGTTTGCTTCTAGAGTGAGTGCCTGGCAAAGACCTCAGGAAATGTTTTTTCTTCTCCTTGTTGTGCTTTTGTGATCCTTCCATAGCAAATTGT